CATTTAAAAATGTTGGAAATGTCTCTACTTCTTTGCTACTTCTAGTATATTTGCACCATTATAAAGTTTTTCCCTTCCCTCCTCTGTTACCTTTTGGTTTTCCCTGTTATATAAAGTACTCTTGAACTGCCAGTTAAAAAAAGTCTTAAAAAACAAGTTGCTCTGGACAACATCAACAAAATTCTCCAAAACCAAGAGTCAGCTCATTTTTCAATATGTAGCCCTGAGGCATAAAAAAAACCAAACAGCAAGGACACAAACACGACAGCTCTAGGAAAGCAGATAGATATCTTGGGTTAGGCTTCTCTTGTAAAGAAAATAAAGCCGAAAGAACTGTGAGAGCATCCTGACAGCTTTTTTTAGTGGAAGTGGCAATAGAAAGATTAGTCTGTTGTAAGTGAATACCGTACAGGCTATAATATCAATGGTAAAGTATTAATGAATATTGAAACCCATGGCATTTTAGGAGGGTTTGTCTTAACAATTTATCATATTATCATCCTTGAGCCACTGCTGATAGAGTGATCCAAGGAAATCTGTGTAGATGCACAGACTCAGAGGAGCATTCCTAGACCAAGAGTAGGAGTAAGAAGATCAAGATTTCTGCTTCCCTACAAATATTCCAGACAGTCTTAATCACTTAGCATTTCATACTCGTCATGTTAATGTGGTATAATAGTTCCTCCATGTTTATTAACCTGGACAAATATCCTGGAAAATTTAGGTTTAAGGCAAGCCAGAAATGTAAAATGGATGTTGTAGGGAATTAATAGACCATGTGAGGACAAGGTTTGTACAGCATGCAGTATATTTTAATCATATACCATATTTGTGCCACCACCACACAATTCTTGCTTTCTTTATTTTGACTCAGCCACAGGGTAATTCTTGGTCATACTCTTCAAGGCAATTTTTTATTGTAGAGCAGAGGTCAGGATGAGCGCAAGCCATTCTCTTCCCAGGAATCCTGATGCAGCTAATCTGGTTTTTGAGTCACTTTTTTAGACATATGCTCAGTAGACTGGCTTTGCAACACAGTCTGCCAGCTGTTCATCTAGCCAGAATAACTTGAGTAAGACACGGATAGATATGACAGATCAGGTCTGCCGATCTAAAAAACTTATGCGAACATTTGACTTCTCCTTTGAATGACAAAGAGTACAGACAACTTCACAAATGTAGGGAATTGCTCCTTACCTTATTAGGTAAGCCCTAATAATCCTCTTTTTTCTGAACTTATTATCTGAGAAATATAAGGAATGTATTTTATTCTGTTTGACTTCTTAATAATGCAGTTGCTTTACAGTTTAAAAAACCTTGACCTAACTAGACCAAAACTGTCTTATTTAAATTATGCACAATGATGTTGTCTCTTAAGTTCTTGAAACTTAAATTTGGGAGAAATGTCCACTAATTTGTCTAAAGGACAAAGGGTTTGTTTGCCCATAGTTCAGATAGAATGAACTTATATTAAATAGAGAAATCAAATTTTATCTTTGTCATGATTCATAAACTGAAAGGTATACAATTAAAATTTGGATAATTCTATTAGAAGATTCCTGCTGATCTTGATCTCTCTCTCGGCCTGTAATGTAGTTACAGATTAACATTATGTGTGTGTATTCATACGATGTCTAGTCCAGAACATGGCAAAGAATCTCTGTGCTGTCTTTAATGGGAAATAAACCAGGCTCTTACTTTGTCTAATGGAAAGTAAATTTCTTATTTATAATACACCTGTAACTATCTAATCGGAAATAATTTTCCCCAGCTACAACATGTGTTATTATTCTGTTTTTCTTAACTAAAACAAGTTTTTCTGGCATAGCTTTCATTTCCTGCAAAACATATTCTTTTCTTACAGAATGTGCACACTCAGAAATGTATTTGCTGTCTGAATGGCAAATAACAGTTACATAGATGGAAAATAGACTTTATAATCAAAAAGCACATTCTGCTTTTAGCCTTACCAATTTATGGTTCAATAAAGTGCAGGATTTCATTTCTGAACCCATATCAGAATCTAATTTACAAAAATGTTCCATATATAATTAATACCCTTGCAGCCTTCAGAATAGTAGGCAAGTCAAAAAAATTTGAAGTGAAAAACAGCAAGATATCTATGAAGCCTATTTTCCAAGTTAAATTTAGAATGGCAGAAAAGACATTACAAATTTTTGCTGAGAGTAGAACCATATAATTTAATTGATCCAGTTCTTATGTAGCTTCAAATACTTCATCAAAAATCCAACTGTTTTTATTCTATTAAAATCTGACCTCCTCTAGTACAATTTAAGTGTTAAATAAATGAAAATAAAACACTTACTTAGGACTGAATTTTCTACCATTGTGAACAATAAATACTTTTTTACCCAGCAGGTAGTCCTGTTAGCTAATGACATCAGTACACCTATTTGAAATGAGACCAGGAGTTGATTTAGCCTAACACCCTCTTGCCATCAGTGGCCAAAACAAAAAAATGCTTGTTTGCACTTTCAGTGCAAGATACTACATGAAGTGTGTGTGATTCCCAGAGCTGCAAAACAAAGTTTTTAATTTCTCATCCTTTAAGCTAAATTACATATATCATTACACACTAGTCTGACCTGGACTATCATCTTGCCATTTTCACTAAGTAGAATAAAAATGAAGGTAACCATGTTATAGATAATTGTGTTACTGTAAAAATGAACCTAATGGTCTTGGGATTTCATTTTTTAAGTTTCTGCTTTGTCTGTACATCATTTGAGTTGCATTTTTTAATGCAAGAAGGATAACATGATTATTGAATTGAATGAAATCACAGCAAAACATACAGGTTTATATTTATGGCCCAAATATCATTTCAAAATTTCATCTTGCTGTTTTGTTTTGGCTCTTTTAATAGTAAAAAATATAGATTTTTTTTTTTTTTTTAGAATAACCTAGAGATTTTTAGAATAACCTCTAGAGACTTTTAACTTTAGAATATCTACATTACTTTATCAAAATATCTGGTAGAAATATCTCTGAGGTTTATGCCAGAAATAAGGAAGCTGGAGTTTCAGGCAAAGCACAGATAGCAGTAATCTCAGTCTTCAATCTGTCTTGACGCCAACATTATACAAGTTTGTCTAATTAATGCCTCCACAGAAAAGATGAAAAAGGACAACAGAGATACTTTCACAAACTTCAGGGACTAGACTTTAACTGAGTTCCTGTTGTTTTAAACATTCTCTGTGATTTATATTTACCAATATAAAAGGGGAAATAACTGTTTTGGCTTCACTGGAAAGTTAAGGAGTAATAGTTTTGTTTTGATTTTAGCCAGATCCTAGATATGGATATTATTACAAAAGTTTGCTTGTAAACTTTGTTAAGCGGTGTCCGTAGAGAGTATTTAAATTAACACTGTTCATATGTAGCCTAGTTATGATTATTTTGGGTGATTACTGAGAGAGTTTTATGACACAATATTCTGTATTATTATGTAAGTCATTATATTAGTTAATGGTTTAATGTTCAGATTTGATTTAAATATTTGCTTTGAAATTCCTTTTTGAAAATTGAAATTTGTATTTCCTGAACATATCTCACTATGTCTTTTGGCACAATAAAAAATTAATTTCCTCTACAAATTTCTGACATATTTCACAGAAACTCAATTGCAATAGAATTTGCCTCAGCTTATGATACTTAGAGAATGACATTTTTGTTGGTTTTACAGTGTTAAATGAGTCTAATTTTACAAAAAAGTTTACTCACACTCATAAAAATAACAAATGTGGCTTTGTCTTCGGACATTTTTTTTTTTTTTGAACACCTATTTCTGATTCCTCAGTTCAGAGCAAGCATATACACTTACTTTGTATCTTTACTCTTTATTATCCACAAAAATGTTCTGGGATTTTTTTCACTTTGTCCTGTACACCATCTCCAGTTGCTGTCTCCTTAAATTCACGACAATAACCTGCATTAGAGACTGGATATAAAATGGGAGTAGATTGTATACTGCAGGGAAAACAAGTGAAACAGAAACCTACATGCAGAGCAGTTTTTGGCCCAAGTGGGAGCTGGTGAGCTCAGGAGCTCAGTGAATCACAGCCTGGGAGCTCGCAGCAGCATTTTATTGCTTGTGCTGCTGGGGCTGCAAAGGCAGCTCATCCCCTGCCCTGCCACATCTCCTGGTGGGATTACTCTCTCCACACACAGAAGACACGCAGGTGGTAGAGCCTTTTTTCTCTTGGAAACAACAGCTGCATAGCAAAAGTCAAGAAGAAAATTCCAGCTGGAGGGCTAGGGCTTGACATTTCACTTCCTTCTGCAGAACCAATAATGACTTTGGGTACAGCTATCAAGCTCTCTATTTACCTGAGGAATGTTGCCTTAACATTCATGGAAAGTATTCATTTGGTTTTCAGTTTTATTTCATCTGCGATTTTTTTTTTCCTGGAAAAATGCAGAATATGAAATGGCACAAAGTTTAGAAGTTGCAGCAGTGAAATTCTTTTGTTTAGAAGTGTCCTAAGGAAGTTAATTAACATTTTCAAATGTCCTTCTACTCTTGGAATATCACTGAAGCCATCTGAAATTCATTGTCCTCATAGAGCAATTGTGAGGGACTGTCATCTTTAGACTGGCCTAGGTGTTGTTTCCTCACTCAAGCTAAAATTCATTTTCTGTCTTAGTGGGCACTAAGTAATCTAAGCACCTTACTTATCCAGGTAGTTTCCCTAGGTTTGGTATACAGTCAGTGTTTAGTGAGGATGACTCAGCCCTCAGAAGAGGTGCCGAGCCTTCCAGGGGTGTTTATACCGAATTTTGGGTAAATGAGGAATTCAGGATGCCTGCGTTCCTTAGATAAGTGTCCCATTTATGCATCTGGGGTGGACAGTGTAACTGTTGCACACTTCAATACAGATTTCACTGAAATTTTATGTCTAAAATGTCACTAAGAAATGAACTAAATTCTGCATCACAGCAAAAAAAATATTAAAATACACCTTTTTGTTTACTTCTAGCTTCCTCAGAGAACCCGCATGAACACAGTAAGTACGAAAGCAATATAGAATATTATTTTAACTTTCAGAAGGAAGGTATTTCCTTTTTTTTACAAAGTTTTAGCAGCTTACGGTGGAATCCATCAATGCAAACCCACACAACACTTTGACTTATGAAACTGGTTTTCAATGGCTGGCTCTGTTAATGCAGGACCAGGTGTGTTTGACGGGTTCCAGGTTGCATGGAAACCATTTTCCAATTCATCTGAGACCCACCTATGCCTTTTGCCTCCATGGCAGCTTTGCACTACGAAACAATCAAGGGGACCACAGATGGAGAAGGGTCTCTGCAATTTTCTGGCCAGGCCTCTGGTCCAAGTTTTAGAGGTTTATTTCTTGGTATGCTGCAGTGCTCACCTGCTGCACAGATTAGACTGCACAGCTACACATCAGAATTAAACATATTTTTAACATCCCTCTGAAATATTTTCTGTCTCATAATGTTGGGATTTGGATAGCACACTGTTTTCAAACAGCACAAAATTGCCTACACATTATATTGTAATATGGAATAATATCCATTATTGTTAGTGCCTCACAATATATTTATGGGATCCCCATACTAGCTAACATGAAGAAAACTATCTCTAGTCCAGTCAAATCCAGGACAAAGAAAAACATTGTTTCTTTTTCATTTATGTAGGATACTGAACATTTATTTGTCATTCTCCACAAGAAAACACCACTTCTGTTATAATAAAAGCTGCCATCATTTCTGTATTAAACATCAAGGAGAAATTTTGTATACAGAAGATCAGTGATAGCAATCACAATTAATGCTAAAAGCAATTAATCATTTTAGAAATTCATTACAATTGTAAAAATCCACAGAAAATAATTAAACCACACTAAAATTTAAAAAATAATTTTAATTATTTTAATTTTATAGGGAAAAAATAGTTAAACATTGTTTCTTGAGAATTATAGTTATCAAAAAATTCTTCTCAAATATAGTGGGAATATGTAATGCAAAGTCATCTTTTATAACTACAATGAGAATCTTTTCTTTTTAAAATCTTCTAAAAATAAAAAACCTTCTAATATAGGGGCTCTTATTTTCAGAGCATGAACGTGTTAAACATGACAAAGCTGCCTCTCAGACAAAGCCAGGTAGGTTTGGTAAGGTAACCTCCACTTACACCCGGCTCCAATTAATAAGGATATGTGTGGTCTGCAAAACTTGGACACTTCCTTGAGCTAGGCACAGCTGTTTTGCTTTGTGCCATTGGGGTTTTTCAGTGTCTTGGAGAGAAACAAAAATGAGGGTGACATTTAACTAAAAGGATTTGGCTGTCAGTTTTTGGCTGTTCTTGTGACTTTTCTCACTGGTGTAGTAAAAAGCATTAGCAAAACCCATTTCCCAGAGTGTGAGGAAGGAGTGCTTTAATGCCCTGCACTACGTCAAAGATGTGCACTGGGAATTAACCCTTCTCAACCCTTTCAGTAAATTAGTTATTACATTGAGTGTGGGAGCCCCAAAAAAGAGAAGCTACAATCTCATTGAGTACACACTGCAGTAGAGTCAGCCTCGAGATCCTGAAACTCAAAAGTAGCAGGAGCTGAGCTAAGAATAGCAATGCCAATCCTGGATTGACTGTGCACTCGGGTAAACTGTAAGTAGTACTGGTTGCAGTGAGCAAGACAAAGGATCCCTCTTTCAAACCAGAGCTCTGTTCTAATAATTTTTTTTGAGAAAGAAGGTACTCAAGGATCTACAGCTGGGTCTGGTGTGAATTAACAAGACTAAGAGGGTAACCTCACAGAAAACTCAGCTATTGATCCTCAGCTTACATCACTCCTGAGCAGTTTTCCAGTCCCCAGTCCAGAAGCAGTGGGGCCTGGAAAGAAAGTATCCACATCCCATTGACCTTTGCTGGAAGTGCTGCTGTTTGAACTTCACATTGAAATGAAGTGCTCATGAATAAGCGATTAAATAAACCATTTAAATGTTATGTGTTCAACAATAAGCAAACAGGCTTTATTTCATTAATTTTTTTCCTATTTTCTTAAGAAATAAATTTATCCTTTTTTTTTAGTACATTTCTCATTCATTTTTCTGCCTTGTAAGTTAAATATTTTCATAGTAATTTTCATATTTCTGGAAGCCTTGAGGATCTGATTTGTGAAGATGTATTGGTTTTGAGCCATTGGGGAAAAAATTTTTTTCTTCTTCTTTCTGTCACAGTGGCCAAGCTTTGTATTTAACTCACTGATCACTTTTTGTGTATTAACAGCTAGCAGAATGCTTCAGACATTAGATGAATTCAGCCAAGGCAAGAACGAGGAAGCCGAGCTTGGTGACCACAGTGGTGGCCAGAAAGTGGGTTGCCTGGAGGGGTAGTGTGATTACTCACCTTTCTTGCTAAATGAAATTAGTCCTGCTGCACAATTAGCCCAATCTCATCCACATAGCAGCAGGAAAAGAAATTGCCTTGGTAGGACATTCTCAAACATCAGAGCACTTTGTCACAAACCAGTATACTGGACTATTCAGGGCTTTACTCTCGCATACTACAGTACACTCCACAGCCAAGCCCTTGGTGTTTAGATACTTGAAGGGAAAAAAAAAAAAAAAAGAAAATACTTGCTAAATTTCTTTTAGCATAAAATCTCTATTCTCAAATGATAAATGGTTGCTTTGGAGAACAGTGGTTGTTTTGAGTTTCACTTGATGACTGGAAGTATTAATCTGCAGGCACTGGTGGTAATAGTGCTTCTTCCTGCTGTGTGCCAAGGAGTGCTCTTGAGTTAACAGTTTGAATTATAAAAGCTTAATTCTGTACAAAGCAGTGGCCTCCTTTTTCACTTTGATTCAATGCAGCTTCAAACCATTTTTCTTATGTCTCCTGCTATGAGACTGAGAAGTATCACATGACTGAAATACTATGGAATTTCAGAAAATATATTGGTCCCATAGGGAAAAGTTTAAATTAGAGTGTTTTGTGTATGTCAGGGAAAGAAAGTAAAACAGGGGAATTCATTCCTTATGTAATTCTGCTGAAACTGCCTGCAATATACAGGGAAACTTTTACAGCCTTATTTTTTCCATTTAAATTAGATACATCAGAGAAAAAATTAATATTGATGTTTGTAGGGCTACAAAACTGGAGCCCTGCAGAATAAATTCTCTTCAATGAAAGATTTCAGAATTTTAAACTTTGGGCTTACTCAAAATCAGTATTTTTTAAAAATATTCATAACATCTATTTTTTTACTCTTTATAGCTTTATGAAGTCCTCGCAATTGTTTAATTTTGTATTTGAAAGACTCCTTATAGTAAAAAAAGAATACATGAAAATTTAGAAATATTACTTCTGTTCTTGGCAAAATAATATGTATTATCGTCATCATATGTTTTTCTCTGCTTTTGCTCATACGGAATGTGGTGAACAGATTGATTTTGTGAAGCTTCCTAGTGTTTTGAAGTGTATTCCCTTATAGACACTGTTCTCCTTAAGTCTGGATATTCTACTCCTTCAGTTTCCCTTCTGGCTACAACCAGAGGCTGGAAACTCAGAGAAAAAGCCAAGCAGCCCCCACCTATAATTCTGCCAGGGTGTTCTCCAGTGGGATCAGCAGACCAATATATGCTGTGTGGTTAGGTTGCAGAATAGGTAGGTGAATGAATACCAAAGAATTACTGTATTCATTCCCAGATGAATGCAAATCCAAAAGGCCTGTCCAGTTTTCAAGATAAATTCATTCTGAGAAGAAACACTGCTTCTACTTCCAAATTAATCAGATTTGCCATCCACTCACAAACTTATTTCCTTATTTCCTCATGTATTTGTTATCCCACAGTTACAAAACAAATATTGCTATACATTCTCAACAGAATTAGGAAAGGAAAAATTTCTTATTTAGTGTTGAAAAGTGTCAGGATAATATCCAAAGAAAGAGAAGCCTTTTTATTTTTACTTGTCATGAATCCATGGCAAGTTACAGGGCCTTTGTTTAAAGACAGCATATCAAGTTTTCTTCTGTATTGGTACATAGAAAGTTTAATGACCCAATCTAAATTAGCGAAATGCACCATTATATGTTAAAGCTCCTCTAACAGCAGAAAAAAAGACACTTTCACTCAGTAAGTTGCATCTTCAAGCTGCTGGTTGTGCTATAAAACATCTCTAGTTCCACAGATATTCACAACATGGAGATGAGATTTTTAATTCACAGCTTTCATAAGAAACTGGCAGTAACAACAGCTGAATAAGGGGGATAAAAGTGCCCTATACGTAATACAAATTAGGAGAAATTAAATTGACACATACCAGGAAAAAAATGAAAAGTATAGCAATGCAGAGCTATGTTTCATTTTCAAATAACAGAAAATATTAGTAACTGGAGAGCTTTATCCCTCATTAGTACTGATTTTCTTTCAGAAACAGACCAAATAAGCAAGAGAAGGGGACCAAGAGATATCTGCCCAACCTGATCTCCACACAGCTTTGATCTGATGCCTTACAGGGATCTTAGTGGAAAGGAAGGGACCAGAGGTGGATGGCTGCAAACTGCTTTCAGCAAGAGGAATGACAAATACTATGTCTTAAGCACATTTAAGAAGAATTTAGGAATACATATGATTGTTGAAAGGTAGAGGTTAGGAGAGGAGCTTGAATTCAGTTATGGAAAAAGACATAAAATGGAGTAGAGCTACAAAAGGATGAGGTGGAGTGAATTTAAAATCAACCAAACTGGGCTGAGAAGAAATCTGAACATAAACAGCCCAGTTTCCACCTGACTGGGATGTTGGGAAGGTAAAACAAACTTGATTAGAAAGTGCAATCCCACCAACTTTCTTGGAGAAAAGGAAGTTCAAGTCTGGTGGCCAATGTCAACATGGGTCCACATCATCTGAGAATTGTGCTGAGCAAATCCACAGGTGGCTCAAGTGCATGTGGGCTTGGGCAGTTTTGCCCATAAAATTAACAGAAGTTCAAGGCTGCTCCACGGTCTTGTGACAGATGTCCAGCTAGGTCTAGGTAGGCTTGTCCAGTAGCAGGTGGTACGGATTGGCATTTCAGACTGTCCCATCTGTCCCCCTCCGACCTGTTATGTGCTTGGGCATCTCCATATATTTTTCATCTTCTGAGTGCAGACACAGGTGGATACCTCCACCCATTTTTGTAGTTAAGCAGTCTCTAAAGGTCTAGAGGGTATCTAGAAGTTCTTAGTGTTGTTTAATACCAAAATACCAAACTGTTGGACTTTGACACACAGGAAGGTGCTGAGACATTAGGCCCAGTAATTTACTTTTTCCATGAACATGATCTCACCTTGCAGTCAGAACTCATAATGCCTGCATGCTGTTTTACAGTGCTATAATGGGATAGTGATACTGTAGGCATGCATTTATTTTGTCATTGTGAACCATTTGCATAATATCACCTATAGAAATATTTTTCCAATTATATGATCCTATGTTAACACATTGTGATTTTAATGCTGCTTTCACAATACAGAGGAGAAAATGAAAGAACCAAAGACTACTCCCACTGAGAAGTCAGGTAAGAATAAGTGATTCTCTCCTGATTGAAGAAGGGGGAGGGGGATATAAAACACTCTTCAGCACTCATCTAGTATAGTATATTTGCATTGCATTATTTTTTACAGTGTTTTGAAATATGTGACTGATAACAAAGCAAAACCAGCAGAGTGGAAATTGCAGCTTCTGTTCTACTAAGAATTGTTTTTCCAATGATGAAGACAGGTCAAGGCCTTTCAGCTCCTTAGCTGCTTGTTCCAGCCTCTCATTAGCCAGAGCTGGGCTAATGAAATGAGGTATAGCTGTAAATCAGAGCTCTGAAAGGATCCCAAATATGAGAATAACTTACCAGATGGATTAGGACTTTGGATCAGTCCTATGGAGAAAATGTATTTGGGACTAAACTCTAAATCTTTGGGTTTTAGCTATGATTACGACCATATAGTTTTTTTTAATGTAATGCTGACAGGAAAAAAATCAAGTAACAATGTGTGTTTTAGAAGCTGTGAAGAGTCAGATAAGGAATTATAACATTCTCATCATCACTGGCAGTCAACACAAAGCTGTCTGAACTTTAGGAATTCAGATGCTGTGCATCCCTGCACAAGTAGGCGAAGCTAAGAACAAGTGAGAACTAACTCTGATAAAATGCTTGAATGTTAAAAAGAAAAGGGAAAAAAGAGTATCTTTTTTCTTCTTTCTGTATCTAACTATTACAATTTTACCTCTTTTGTCTTCTGTAGCCCAGGCAAAGTCAGCAAGTATGTTATTCTTACCTTAATCAGAAAAATTCCTTTAAAATTTTTGGATACATGTATCTTATTTTACTTTTACACGAGGAAGCATGCCCTTGGCAATTTCTAGTTTTGCTTAAAATTATAGAGTCTTTATCACAATGTCTCCCATCGCTTTCATTTAACATACTGTCTTGTCATTGCTATTTAAAAGCCCATTTGACATAACCTATTGCTTCAGTGCAGGAGTGAATTCATTCTACGCTTCCCATATCAAAAGACCCATCAACAAAAGTTCATATAGGAGTTACAAGTCTTTTAAAAATCACTATTAACATTGCCTGGATTGAATAAATGTTCCTGCTAAGTTAAAAAAATAAAAATAGAAATTAATTTAATATAACTGCATCCTGAATTCTTCTCAATCAAAAAGGACTCAAGTGTCAATACCTTAGCTACCACACAACCTGCTCATTGATTTTCTATACCTTTGACACCTTCAGAATGCAGATTCCACTACAATAATAATAATTAAAACTGTCATTAATTGCCCAAATAATTTAATGATCAAAAAAGTCCTGATATGGGAACCACTCTTCACTGAACTAATTTTTCATTCATGCTTCAGAAAAGCATTTCCCATTTGAAATTCTGTATGATGTCTTCATCTCAGCATTTCTCAACTTGTCTCCCCACCTGAAATCAGTTACTAGGAGTTCAATTATTTATCTGAGCAGCAGAAAGGCTGAGGCATATTGCCCTTTTTTCTGAGGCCATTCACATTTTCAGCACTTTCCACTTTACAGCATGCTTTTGGGTCCTCATTTCTTAAAAGGAAAGTGATGCACATTACTTGAGCTGTGGGAACATCACCTGGAAACAAGGCCAGCAGAGCTGTCCATTGATTTCACAACCATAAATTGTATTTTGGCCCGTTTCCATCACATAGCTGCTACTGTGCTATGAGATCCGTGGGGTGGGGATTTTTCTAAGTCTGATTTTTGTTTGCTAGACCTATTTGAAAAAAAAAGAAGCTTCTTCAACTTTTCTATTTCCAACAACATCACATAAATTATATTTTTTTCAGTAATAAATATGAAGTAGAAAGATGGGAGGAGGGGTAGAGAAGCAGACATGTGGAGATGAGATGCATTTTCCAAACCTAAAAATAATTTATTCATTTGTAATAATATGTGTCTAAGACTTTGAACACTTAAGTATATCTGAACCAAGAACAAAGAATGAGTGAATGGTTGCTCTGAATGAGTTTACTCTGCACTTTCCAATAATAAAACTTGAAAATAAATAAAAATTATATTTCAGAAATTACAGAAGACCCTACAAACTTCTTCCTTAAGACACATGCATGACTCTTAGTAGCATTAATAGCAGCTGTATTTGTGAAGGTATGTGCAGTACTAATGAACTTTGCTATTTTGTGGCAGATCCCTCAGTGGATAGTCTTTTAATAACCCTTCATTTGTAGGTTTCTTTTTCAAAATAACAGCATGAAACAAGAGTTAATTCTGAAAAACATACATGCAATCCTACTTACTAAAAGAAAGAAATGTAACTTAGAAACATTACAGAAATTTTATTGTTATTCTGTTTGGGTTTTTTTGTTTGTTTAGAGCACGAAGCAGTCAGACATGAAAAAGATGTCCCCCTTACAAAACCAGGTAAGCATTCCTGCATTTTATTTTGCATATTTATTTTGAAAATGTTATTTACAGAAATAGTGAAATACAATTGCAAATGACAAATGTCAAAACCATTGTCCTGTGATCTATTTTGATGTATGGAATGGCCCTGACATGCCATACCAGAAACTGAATAGCCCAGTACATACTTGCAATGCTGCTCGTCATTTTAAGATATAGATATATGTACACATCAAAGGTCAAATTTCTGCCTCTGTAATTCCATTGATGTCAAAGGCATATGCCAGCAAAGACTTTGAACTGCTTTCTGAAACTGCTTACTGTAAACGGTTCCATTCTGCTAATTATTTGTGGGGGTCTGCCTTTTATCTGGACTTCACAAAACAGTTAACCTCCCAGGATGAGCAATACTTAAATTTTCATCCATTGCAGGCATCATGTGACGTAGGATTTAGATCTTGATTTGGCACCATCCATAATCTGTGGTAAATGTCTCTGATATCACAGCTCATGCACAGTTGCACTTGCACATGACAGATCAAAATTGATGCTGGTATAGGAAGGAGCATTGTTTAGTTTCACTGTAGACTGTCATCACTGGTTTAAAAAATATCTGCTCCGTGCTTCTTCATGAAAGGAAATAAGTGAAGAATTGAAATTTTTATTGTTAATATTAGTCATCCTTAACTCTGGTAAAACAATTACAGTCTGTAAATGAGAACACCCCTACTAATATAATTCATTATTAGATTGTTATTAATTACTGTGAGATCAGTAAAATTATGTTGTGATATGTGGAAACATATAGAACAAATATAGCCATTTTCTGCCATAACAATATGCCAAACCTGACTGTTTTGACCATTTTTCTTTCTTCTTTTTACTTCCCAGTCAAACCAAAAAACACTGCAAGTACGTGTAATGACTTATTTCTTATGGAATATGAACCTTCTTTTCAGATGCATGTTCTCTAAATTTGCTTTTTTGCAATTTTGTCATGTTAGATATTGCTATTTTCTTGCTTATACTACAGATACTCTTGTATTCTGTCTGCTTACTGACAGCCAAACACAACAAAATCAAGCACATTTATAATGCAATATTGTGAAGATGCAAGATTCAAACTCTGTTTGCAATTTTTGCTCCCTAGAAAATAATGTAAATTACAGGTAGCAAAATTGATATTCTGGTGGGTTTAGATTGGTGTAGATGTATAATTTATATTTATGCAAATATACTGTTTATTGAAAACAAGAAAATAGCTTGCATCATAACTGACTTAGTCAACCTTTTCCTTAATTCTTTTACCATTTAGAAATTACTTACATCATTAACTCACTAAGCATGTTGTTGGCCTTGTTCAAATAAAATCTTTTTTTAATAAAAAACCTAAATTAAATTAAAGAAGAGAAAGAAATCTTTCTAATTTATGTTAGTTTTAAGGAGGATTCAAGGGGAATTTGTCACATTGCAAAAACTTCCACTGAAGTCATGGGATAATGTCCTTTATAAAGTCATTTTTAAGGAAGGCTTCTGAACAGATGAAGACTGGGATCTATGCGTATTGTGGCATGGATTCGTGGTCAGACAAGAATCAGAAATGCTGAAGTATGGACCTTCAAAGATTAATTAGCTGTCGATTCTTTAGCACAGGATCTGTGGGGTTTTTTTTGGTGCTGTGCCTGGCACATTAAGACCAAACCATGTGTTATTCTGGTGGAAAGTAAGCTGGCGACAAGGCAAAGCAAAATTATTTGCTTAAACTTCCTAGACCGGTCACCTGTGCTAGGTGTTTAAAGTTAGAGAGGATGAATACCTGCTCTTACACACCTGTAGGAAAACAGTGTTACTCTGAACCCCACATGCAGAGTGAAAGTGTGAGCATCTGAAATGTGCTTACACTGAAGGATCCCCTTCAGCCCTGAACTGCAATGTTCCATTTCTGAGTTATTACTGCAAAATTATTACTTTCTGTGAAGCTATCCATGGGCTTATTTCCACTTTTGCCAGTATTTTAAGAAAATTTTGTTCTATTTAATTATATTAATCACTTTTACTCAGTCTTGTTTTCTCTGGATCTGTTTACTGACATTACTGTAATGTCTTCAGTGATTTGTCTGAGAGACCCAGTGATGTCACTCACTACTGTTAGAGGCTCATCACAGATTTAAGTGACTAATTCTTTATGCTTTCATCACAAAAATCACTGTCTACAATGATTTTTTATCGAGAGCTATATTACCCTGGTATATTGTGAATATAAGGAGTAGCCGGAATATTTTTCCCTTGACCTTTGCAGGGGGATGTTTGTACCATATTCTTGAGCTTATATTCTGCTGCTTGTAATAATTATAAAGGTTAACAGTGCCTTTAGAAAAAGAAAAAACAAGAAAAAAGAAAGAGAAAGAGAAAGAGAAAGAGAAAGAGAAAGAGAAAGAGAAAGAGAAAGAAAAAGAAAAAGAAAAAGAAAAAGAAAAAGACAAAGAAAAAGAAAAAGAAGAAGAAAAAAAGAAAAAGAAAAAGAAAAAAAAAAAGAAAAAGAAAAAGAAAAAGAGAAAAAGAAAAAAAGAAAAAAAGAAAAAGAAAAAAAAAGAAAATAAAAGAAAAATATGAAAAAAAAAAAACAGGATCAAGCAGACCTATGGTCATTTACAAAAGTAATTGTCTATACAGTGCCCCTTTTTGAGTAAGCCATCCTTAAAGAGATCATGCTTAAGATTTTAAACACCAGAGCTGCCTATTTTAAATTGATTTTCTCCACTTAAAGGACAACACTTAGTTGTATCACTGCCTTCTTTATTTATAGAGGTCTAAATAGCTTTGCTTCATGTATTTCTTAGCCAGGTGTACAGTGTGCTTACCACACAAGCCATGTAGCATTTGTGAAATTCAGTATGAGATGTAGGAATGGATATGAAATACTCACTGATTTTGGAGTACAGGTCCAGTGGAATGTAAAATAAATTAATACATTTATCCTGGTCTGAATTCATTCACACTTTGTATCTTGTTCAGTCTTATTGTAAAAGCAAATGTGGTTTAAGTTAGTAAAGAAATTGGATCATTAGGGGATGCAGGTATAAACAGAAAGACAAGGCTGAGTTTGAAAACTACGAAAATTAATATCACAAATAATTTCATAATAGTAACTTGCTGCCATGATCTAACCTGGCAGGCAGGTATACACTACACAGCCACTCACGCGATTTTATAAGCAATTAGTAAATCATTTTTCACTCTTTCTGTTTTAGTGTACAGGAGAGTCTTTGACAGCCATTGACCATACATCAAACTTGAATATGTAATGAAACAGAATTAACTTCCTGCATACTGATTAAAGACTCACAAGTTGTGAGACATTACCTTGAACAGAAAACAAAGCTAGTGGCAGATCTTACACATGCAGGAATACCAAACTGTAGTTTGCAGTCAAGAGGAAGAACATGTAGGCTGATATTTAAAAATAACCCTAAGAATTGGCAAATTATATTCCCACTTAGGTTTATCATAAAAGCCCCATAATACGGGTAATATATGTCCCAGTGTTCTCAAAGTGGAAGTTTGTTTATGCATTGAGAAGGGGAAATGGCCCTTACACTTCATACAACAGAGGGTCAAACCTACTGCCCTTCAGGCCAACAGACTTCCCATACCTGACTATCCAAGTAAATCTATTCATCCTAAATTAGGGTACATGCACATAACTGGACCCATCCAAATCCCTCAATTAAGAAATGAGAGCATGAAACTCTTTCCTAGATTTAGTACCTCAGAAAAAAATCTTAGTTTTTTTTCTTCTGAAAATGAAAAATCAAATTAATTATTCCATGGGTCACAATTCAGTAATGTGTAATCTTTAAGAAGCTATGAGTAAGATCATAAGCAAAAAGGTAAATATTAAAGGACTTTAGCATGTCAGCATTTAACAGCAGCAAAACTGGCCTTTGCTGAATGCCCATGGTGCCTAAGCATTAAGCACTGACATTTACAGGCCTCCTTATTGGCCAAAACTTGAGTGAAAGTATCCTGGGATGGGTTAGGGAAAATGATGCTTAATTGCTCAGTCTTCCTTTGGAAAAAGCATTGATTGAAACATTTTCACCTTGGTGTGAGCTCACATTCATCTGAAACTAAAACTCAGCAGGAAGAAAGTACAGAGACATCTCAGTCAAAGGAATAGCTTTAAATGCTTTGTGATCTTATTCCTTTTTTGTCCTGCTCCAAGGAAAAGCAGCTTTGCTTTTTCTTTCAAACTGTATTCTTACATAAAACTGTGACTACTGAAGTAGTGATGGGTAAAAATTCTTGGATTCAAAGTTGCAATGTAATTAATTTATTTGATTTAAAATGAGTGATAATGATTTACACCAGAGAATTTCTATCCACTGGATGGACCAATTTTCATCAATTATTTTGGGTATTATAATAGCACAAGAATGTATGCTTCTCTTGTGCTAGGTGGTGTGGAAAGATGACGTCAAAATCTCTCAAGAGATTTTATTCTTAAAAGGCAAGTGAAACTGCTAGTGTAGGAGAAACACTTAGGGGTCAATGCCAGCTATTCAAGGTCAGTATCAGACTTTGGCTGGGAAATGTGGATGATAAGGAAAGAGAGGTAACAATTAAACTGAATGCATTTTTTGGAAAATAGCATAGTCAGCTATAACTTTAAAGGTACACTTAAAAATGAGTCTGTTTAAATATTTGTTTGCTGGAAAGCTTTGGTTGGCGCAGTGTTTGCATTTGCAGGAATCATTGTATGCTGGATTATAGTACATCAAAGAGTGAGACTTTTATCTGTCAGTGTGAAATTCTACCTACACGCTCATTGTTAAGGTACATTTGTTCGTAAATTAATACCCTGCAGAAAAATTGCAGATGAAAGAGATCTATTTAAATGGTTGCTTGCCCTGAAAAAACATGGTACTGAATTTCTTGTTCCTTTCTTTCCCTTCCCCGCCCCCTTTCTCTTCATTACTGGCTATTTTCCTGGAGAGCCAACAGCTGAAATCCCAACATCAGGTAAATATTACATTTTTCTAGTATGCCTCATAGAAAGAACTAATGAACATACCAGTGTTGATTAATACATTTTGCTCATCAGTAAAGAGCAGTGATAACATAAAGCAGCCTGAGTAAAGTGACAGCACTGCAGCTACAGAGGTCTCTGCCATAGGCTCTTCTTTCCATCTGATTATGTGATTTGCACTGTTCACCCTCTGCAGCATGTTTTGGAAAGCTGGACACAGGTGATCCTCACTCAAAGAGCTGGTTGTGAATCAAGTGACACACGCACCAGAGGATGCTGAAGAAAACGTTATTATTACTGGTGGGATGATGCAAAGTGCAAATGAGCCATTTGAAGGCAGCCAGCTATTTTTCTGCTGTAGCCAGCAGCGAATACTGAAATGGGCTCAGGTGCCTGAAGTGATATACTTTGCTTAATTTGGTTGAATGGAGTCACAGGCCAAATGCATTTGCAGCTGCAGCAAAAGGATGCAGAAAAGGAAGCAGTGCATGCTCTAAATGAATGTAGACTAGGAAAAACACCCTCCCAATAAAATAAAACACAATCTATTGCTGCAGGACTTCTGAATGATCACATATGGCAGTTCTAAAGTTCATCTAGCTCCATATCCTGGGGATTTTTGTCTGTTTATTTCTTTCAGATGTTTGAGATCACTCTGGGAAAGAGAGTAAGAAGCAAGCAATAGGCAGAGTCCTTCCCTAGTGTATTTTGGCAAACAAACAAATCTGGCAGTAGTTAAGGAATTGCAGAATTCAAGTGCTAAACTCTTTATCAGGGTTTTTTTTTTTTAAACTACTCTGCAACCAGCAATATTCAAACAATTTCTAACCACTCTACACAAAGCCCAGAACTTCTAAGTGCCACTAAGTGTAGCAGGCACTGTTGCAATAGTACAGGCATTATAAACATGCCATGAGACACATTTACCACAGTAATTCTTCCAGGGAAATTACCAGTGAGAGAATCTTTACACAATATACTTATTATAAAAGGCCTGTATTTTTGATGCCTGTCACTTAACGTTATTTTTTTGCAAATCTTTCTAGCCACAAAAAAACCAAAGACAACTAAGGAAAAAGAAGGTAGGAATTTATTCTATGTGTTCGTATATATGTAGACAATCACAATAAAAATATTATGAGATTGCAAATTTGCATGTATTGTTGCTTGAGGCAGTCCCTAAAATATCTGTGTTAATTCTCATAGAATTTTACTTGAAAACTCTGGGTAAAATCTATTCAACAGTCAGTTTACCAAGCTTTAACTGTGCTACTTTTTCTTTGTAGAAAAAACAACTGCGAAGAAACAGCTGAAAGATGAAAAAACTAAAGGTAATAAAGGGATGAAAATCTCTGCAAATAGCAATAAAAATGCAAACATTCAGGTTTGGGGGATTTTTTGGGATTAGAAAAAGGAGCTTTTTTAGTCTTTCTACATACATGCAAGTAAACCAAAATGATGAAATTGTACATAAATCCCCAGTAATTTAATGTGTGGTGCCTCCTTTGCATATGAGTATCAAGGATTTCATCAGCAGATCCAGTCTTGCTGCCCTGTCTGTGACCCTCCCTGGCTGGCACAGCAGGGTCTGTCCAGCCCCCAGCACTGTGGCCCAGGATTATCCCAGGCTCTACCCAGTCTGCTCTTGTGCCCCCTAAAGTGGTAGTGCAAAGTTCATCTCTGTAGCTTCTATGGTGCCTTAGGTCACCTGCTTCATCCCTTAAAATATCTTAACTGATACACAATAATTACACAAGACAAACTTCATGATCACCCATATTCTGGCTAACCTCTTGGCCACAGCACTGCCTTGATTGTTTCCTCACAGTAATATGCAAATAGAGAAATTCTTTCTGCTATACCTCTAAAGATAATTAATAGCCATAAATTACAGTATTTTATTAGGTAAGTGATTGAAGACATAAATATCTTCTCTACATTGGCTAAATACAATGATTTGCATATAAAATTTGCACACTGAAATCTCAAACCTCAAAAGACAGCAGTGGCGCTGGTGCCAGTTCACTAAACCACTGTCTAGAAGCAGTTTGCTTATATGGTTATACTGGAGAGAAAATATATCTGTTTAAATTATTTACTAGGAGAGTCAGGCTTTAAAAAAATATGGTTTATAGAAATTCTTATTTGAGAGATTATTCCTAGAAACAAACATGTTTCTTATTGAAATTTTTTTTCAGTATTTTGACCTGAAACTGTAGACTAATTTAGTATCTATGTTTTTTAATGTGTCCCACCAGTGAAAGAAGATCCACGACATCAAAACCTGACATCAGGTACACAATTTTTCCTTGTTATAAAACATTCAGGAAGGTTTTAGTTTGTTGTTTGGTTTTGTTTGGTTTGTTTTGGGTGGTTTGTTTTTTTTTTTCTTTTTTAGGGGAGATCACACATTATTTTCACATTTCTCATTCAAGTCTATGAAACAAGATGTGCGACAAACCAGGCAAATCAAATCCACAAATCTTTTTCCTGTGAAGAAGGAATTGCTGAATCGGTATTGCTTTACCACCTTTCTAAATTTTTAAACACCTATGCATCTGATTACCTTATAAAACAAGAGGTCTGTAATTAATATGGCAGTGCAGTATTTAAAACTAACATTTCCTCCTCTTTTCCTAGAAAAATCTTTTCCATAACTAAGTCTCACAGGGAGAAACATGTTCAATTTGTTTTCTCTCACATTAATAAGTATTGCCTCTCATCACAATCTGTCCCAGCTCCAGCAAAAATGATGAATAAAGATTAGCATCTCCGGAGAAAATCTCCCTCCATTGTTTAATCATGTTCTTACTAGTTTACAGAAAAAGGAAATATAAGTTCCAAATTCTTGACTAGTATAAATTTAATTAATAGCTATGACTTCTGTGGAACTGCATTAATTCATGACAGACAAGGTCTTTAATCTCACCTGACATCTAACTGGTTTACATAGAAAATATGAGCTACATATGAATATGGTTCCTCCTAATGCAACTTTGTAGTCTTAACCTACTGAGGAAAGTATTTCACTTCTAATTATCCAGGCTATTTTGTTGTATACGTTTTTTTGACTTCTTTACTGTAAATAGAATGATTTAGAGTCCTACAATCATGATATAAAATGTGTAATATGTGTGCAGTTATATGTATCTATTTATTTAGAAATATATTTATCCATGTGTAGAAAATTTAAATCATAGAAAAATCAAAAAGATATCTAAATATAAAACAAGTGAAGAACAATCTGTTTTTAAGGAAGAGAGAGTACAAATCAAGTGCTAAATAAAACTTGGATTTGTTACCATGTGTATTATATGAAAGTATTTGCACACACGGCTCACTTTGTTTTATAAGGTCAACTACATTTACAAAGAAGAACAGCTTTACTTTTTTCTTTAATCAGGAGCACAAAGATATGGAGTCAGAGATAGACTTCTATTCCTCTAGATTTGTATGTTGTCAACTGACAGATACAGAAGGCAGAATCCACGCCATCAAAAATGTATTGCTATTTAACACTGATTTTTTTATAGATCAGGAATAATAATAATCATAATAATAATAATCATAATAATAATCAGTACATTAAACCAAATATTTTGCCATGAGAGAAAAGAATTCTTCTATGCATTAAAATCTCAAATTTATTGCAAAACAAAAATGTACTAAACATTTTCTCTCGCTGGACTTTCTCTTGCCTACCACCCTCCTACAAAATTTGCATCATTCGAAAACTGTGTTTCTGTGATTTTCATTTGCATTACTTATGATGATTGTTTAATTCAGTTGTATGTTACCACTGGGCAATTATTCTCGACTGGACATTTCTCAGATCATAAGCAGCTCTGTGCAAAATAACTGGCTTTGCAAAGAGAACTTACTATGTAAGTGGTTTTAAAATATTTATTGTCCACCAAAAAGAATACTATGTTTTCAGAAAATGGACGAAAGGTTTCTAGAAGAACATCAAAGCTACTCTTTTGGATGTTGTTTTTCGGCATTTGCTCAAATTGAGAATTTAAAAGTTAGATCAAATTCTAGGTAATGTACACTTGAATTGGAACTTGATAACTTTTACCTGTTCTGCTTGCAGATGAAGCCTGTATTTTTTCCCAGTTCACTGAACACTAATTTTATTTTTCTGATAAATGAAAGTGGGAAAGGATTTAATCATTCTAAGCTAATCTAAAACTTTAAATAGGAAATCTTCATTCAGCCTTCAAAAGCTGAATAGATTCCCATGTTCTTAGATTTTGCTCAGAAGTCTTCAACCTTTACCTCATATTAAAAAGCAATCAGATAAAGAAGATTAAGCAATTTTAAAAGCTGTATATAGCTGCAATTTTAGAGTGCACCACATTTGAACAGAATTTTAAGCACTCCTGTACCTTTCATAAATAATGGTGCAATGTGCAGTAGATACTAAATTTCACTCTCCTATAGATCTGCAAGCAATTAATTGGAATGCTTTCCTCTTCTTTTTTCTCTTCTAAATGTCACAGTTGACACCTGTACTGAGACTGAAATTTACCAACAGCAATAAAAAAGGGAATTCTTGGAATTTCATTTTTAGCTCTATCTTATAACAAATGTATTTGGAAGCATGCAGAAGCAGGTTTTTTTGACTCTTGGAACGAAATTTGAGGAGCATAAAAATTCAACTCTCTAGTGAGGATTATCTACCATAATCTTTATATGAACAGCTGTACACTTATACATGTTATAATTTTTCTTAAGGCTAACATCAGAGAAAGAAAATCGAAATGGATCAAAAGTTCATTATATTTATCCTAATTACCATCCAACTGCCCTCTTGAATAAAAATTCTGGAACTGATGTATATTACATTTATAATGCAGAATACTGCTTATATGAACATACTACACAAGAACTTTTATGGAAGGAAATGCACCTCAACTAGATTTTTCATCTACTTCTGCAATGATAGAGATTCTCAAATACAATACCTGTTCTCAAACATTTTCTATCATAAAGAGCAATCATTTCATCATACTATCAATATATATTCAATGCCACATATTAATCCCCACATGAAAACCTCAACAACTGCAGAGGGTGAATTCATTATATGTCTTATAAGCATGTGGGAGTTGGTTTATTACTGAGGTTTTTTCAGTGCTTTGCACTTTCTGTCTAGCAGAATATTTTCCAAAGCAAAGATAATTTCCAAATCTGCAAAAGCAGAAAGTTTTGTTTGATGTAAGGTTTGATATGACAGCCATTTGGGAGACTATGAAGGAGGTTTCATCAGTGCTGAGGGAATGTAAACTTGTCAGCAGTGCAATGTGTGAGATTTTTCCCATATATAATTATTTTCAAAAAGAATAATATAACTTCATTTTTTATCTTGGTTCTGGAACATTTGAAGAGTTTAGAGTAAAACATGATATTTTTCATTGTTTTGGAGTAGTAAGTTTCGTCAAATTCATTAAGCACAAACACTGGTAATATTCTATAATATAGAAGCATTGAATGACTTTAGAAATATTGCACAATAGTCAAAAAAGAAGGCAAGAACTTCATCTTCATCTATCTGCAGTGCAGATAACTCTCACCTATAGACAGGTGATGAACTGCAGATACCATATTCTCTACTCTATTGCCACCCAGTCTCTGTGTCTCAGATGTATGTTCTGATATACTCTCAGCAATTTCTTCCAGAAATTCAGCTGTGTGAACTTGTACTAACTAGAATTTTCTCACCAGAATTCAGCAATAAATAACTAATATTTATGTTGTTGTTTTCTGGACATAAAAAAGTCTGTTGCTTGCTAGAATATCATTAGAAGGAAATGACACACTGAGAAGTTTCAGAATTTCTCATAAAATATCTGTTCTCATTTATTTACAAGACTTGTGTCTCTGTAGGTTATTATCATTAAGATTTTCATCACACTCCAGTACAAGAATTCAGCATTAGAGCAGGATGAACTCTGTACTAAGGCTGCTTGAAGGAGAGTCCATGTAGAACACCCTCCATTCTGTGGATATACAGGAATGTCTCAACATTTCATGTTGGTCAGAATTGTGAGGACCAAACCTGTATATGTAGGACTTCCATCAATTTGATATTAGTCATTCCATTATCCTGAAGTTGGCTTTTAAGCAAATACTTGGGGACTAAATCTCATCAGGCTTGTCTGAATGAAGACATGGAGAAATATTGCCCATTTAGAAGATGCATATGTTTAAAGAGCACAGTTAAACCATGCTAAATGCTGGAGTGGTCATTTATTAAGAACTAAGGAGACCTTGAGTTAACTTAGTTTAACCTGCTGTGAAATTTTCACTGAGTCTGCTTTAATTCTGAATAAGCATCTACACAACATTTTATATGGACTAATCAATCACTTTTTAATTTACCTTGAATTAATCTTGCTGATTTTTTTCTATGTAGAAAAAATGTCCAAGGGGGGAATTTCAGCCAAATTTTGGTAGCTAGGTAAAATGAAAACTGTAGGATCTGTCCTGAAACTGATTAAATGTCATTGGACAATTTCTAATAATTGTAATTAGTTTTGAAACTCAAAATCTGTAAAGACACATCAAAAGGAGAACAAAATATCGGGTTTTATGTTAATGATGAGTTTATAAACGGCCTCTCAGAATAGTGAGATTATAATTTAAATTATGAATTCAAGAGATTCTACTTAAATGCCCAAAGGTGTAAGTTTTATCTTTCAAAACAAAACAACTTCACAGTGAAAATCTACAAGCAATTTGGTTTTTTCCACAAGAAATTCAACATCTATCCCTTGCTCTGAATTATTTTTTACTTTTGGCTATATTTGGTAATTTAATTACCTTATCTTGAGTTTATTCATTGTCTAGATTTCTTTACAATTATGAATTACTGAGATTGAATCTCAATTCCTGTCTGCCAGACATATTGAGTACAACCAAGTCACCTTCATCAGGCCCTTGACAAAATGCAGCTGTAGGTACTTTGCTTTAAAATGATAGCGACAATGATAGTTCCTTTATAGCTTTGTAGTAATTGTGCAGTCTCTAAGGGGTTAAGATAATACTCTTTCAAAGCCCTATTCAACTGGAAAACCTCAGTTTTACAGTTTCTATTTTGCAGGAGGGCATTAGGGCTTCCAAGTCACAAAATAATGCAGGTGGAGTGCAAGCTGCTTGTTCCTCTCAATTTTGCACAATTCCAGATCTATCAATACAAGAGTCATTGGTACTGACGTGAATAGACATCTATTTGATAGATCTGTTTCTGTTTCAGAAATCTCTTTATGTAAAATACTTCAAAATGGTTACT